ACCGCAAATTTCGCATTTGACACAATTCTTGTCATAAGCGAAGATGCCAATGATGACGTATTGTTGACACTTGATGTAGATTCTTCTTGTTTATTGTCTCCCATAATTTGACACAATATTATTTAATAGCTGACGACACAAATCAAGATTATTTCCTTTATGATGTAGAAGATCAGACTAAGCTGCAACTACAGAGCATACTCAGACAGAACCTTGACTCAGTTACCAAGATAAATCTTTTCTGATGTGGAAGATCAGACTATGCTGCAACCACAGAGCATACTTAGACAGTACCTTGGCTCTGATACCAATTGTTGCGGAAGCCAAATGTATATAGTGTGAATAAGTCACAACTACTATACCAAAAATTATGACAGCCACCAAATAATAAATAAGACAATAAAACAACAATAAAAGGAACACCAGAATTTACGAGGTTCGGCTAATTTTGCCTACTCCTCGGACACAACCAATATTTTATTTCACTCCAAAAATACAAGTGAAATAATACTAAAGAGAGAAGATACAAATGCCTTAAACAGATGAGAAGGCAAATGAGAGGTGTATATAAATCCTAAACATTAAGCCTTCTTTTATAGGGGGAAAATCCCCCAACCCTTTTTTGCCAAATTCAACGAATCATGCATTTTCGGAAGCAAGACATTGTAGATCCGATATGGCGTACAGCCGTTACTGCACCGGCTCGTGGGGACTATGTTGGTTATCCTATCTCGATTCTGACAGAAGCGCGTGTATCTTCCTTTGCTGCTCCGAGCCATAATTCCAACTTGCATAATTTTGCATCTGGAAAATCAGACACACAACAAGTGTTCAACGAAACACTTGCAACAACAAGTCCCGGCATTCATTTTCTTTCCACAGTAAGTTCAATTCCTTATCTACAAGTCCTTGAACTTCATGCTTTTGATGCTCGAGTATCTCATGGAGACAAGTCCACCATTGACGAAGACAAGGTGTTTGATGAAAGTCCCCAGCCGACCACGACTGCTGTAGCATATGATGATATTTCATAAATCTATATTTCCCCTATGGTTGATGAAGAACCAGATTTTGAATCCTTGAATAAGCATACAGACTTTGTAGACGCAACAGAGGCTCTTGATTGTGAAGCTAAATCAATGCAGGAAGGTGCAAATGCCTTTTCTGCTATTCCCTCGGCAGTGGCTCATGGACAAGGTGCTTCTATTTTTTCCGAGCTACAACACTTAATAGAGACGGACAGCAACACAATTCCCGTAGCCAATGGTGTTGCTCATCCAAAAATGCTAGGTCCAACACTCAGCAATGGCCAGGTGTTCGACAAAATTTCTCGATGGAGTGAAACATGCTCACTGATTAGCCTTCAGCTTGCAGGCACCAGGACAACATTTAAGGATGTATTGGATCCCGGTGGTGAACTGCTTTCAATTTTCAATCAATTGTTACTAGTTAACGATTACGTCACTCGATTCCCATTCGACCCCGGGGTGGATTTACTCATTGTGAACCTTGATGGACCTGCTACTATTCTTGGCGTAAATTTAAGCCCTTGAGTCTAACCGGTCATACCGAGTACATGCAGGCAGTACTATTGTTGGGATTTGTTGTCAAGTTGTGCTCATTTGCATTTTCTAACTCTACGACTAAAGTGTGGGATCCCGGACAGAAATGGTATTTATATTCCTACATTTTGCAATTTAATTACTGGCAGTTACATCTCCAGCTTTCCATCACTATTATAATGCTGGAAAAGATCCTTCATCCGACTTGAAAGAGTTGGAACCAGGAGCGACGGTATTACCCTGGAGACAGAACCTTCTTGTTTTGTTATTTGCAGTGCATGCTGAAATTATGTTGCGATACTATGACAAAGATACTTCAGCGAAGTGCGTGCTTAATGCTATAACAGAAAAAGGCGTCGAAGTTTCAGTAGACGAGGTGCTGAAGTTGTTCGATCAAAAATTTCAAAAGGCCGACACAAGGTTTGCAAGAACCAGTACATGTAATATGAGCTATGGACTTATACTGACAATTAACAAACAGATAATAGTTGAGCTCAATGACTTCCTGGTAGTTAAACCATACTGTCCTCACAAGGTTGCTAACCTTTTCTTGGGTGAACACAAGACAAAAGCAGGGGATCTATTTGATGTTGTTGTTATTACTGCCTTCATCGTTCTCTTGCAACTTACATTGGGCACGAATATGCCACAACTTACTAGAGTTCTTAGAGCAACTAAGAGAAGTGATTGTGCCGATAACATTATTCTGTTGCTTTACCGTGATTTTGGAATACATGTCTACAATTGGGTTGACAGAGGGCATATACTCGAGGTTGGTAATTTTTGTTCAGAATTGTTTATAAACAACAGTCGGGCTGGTATATGTGCTAAATATAAATGGTGGTACAAGGCATCAAACGATCAATTTTACTTGAATTACAACAGAAGGAATGGGGATGCACTTGGTGGAATTCTCTATTTTGTTGGTAACGATGATGAAATAATCAACACCGTGAAAACCTGCGAGTGTGAAGATAAAGCAGGTTTAGAGCAAAAGATTGGAGAAATGGATTCAAGGCTCGACAAACTTAAGAAGGAGTTGAGAAAAGTAGTTGCCCTTGAAATTGTTCTTTACTCAATGGTATCTAAGCATGGAAGTTCTGTCTACCAGTTGCACGCGCCTGCCAGGAACTTTTCTAGACTCTACCTTTATGCTTGTAAATATTGGTGTCTAGACAAAAGAGCTACAGTTGCTAAAAATACTGTTTCTGGCCTTGTTTTAGTTTCCATTATCCTAGGAGGCCAAGCTTTTCAGGAGGCTTTGAAGAGATTATGTCCTGTTGTCAATGAATGGATGATGGAACAGTGTGTTGTCAGACTAGATGGGGCTAAGCTCAATATGGTTTTTCATGAGTTAGCCCGTGCGATCCCAGCTGCTGCTCTATGTCTAATAGTTGACTCAAGGGTGTTACATATAATGCTGCTCGGTGGGCCGGGCCTGAACCGGACCGGACCGGGCCCGCGGTCCTAACGGGCCTGGTGGGCCTGGTGGGCCGGTCCTGGGTGGGCCGGTCTTGGTGGGCCTCTGAGCCCGTCACGGGCTGGTCTCCATGGTTGAGCCCACGAGCCCGGGACCGTTTGGCCCGGGACCGGCAGGCGGGCCTGGGCCGGTCCTGGCGGGCCTGGCGGGCCCAACGGCTATTTTAAAAAAAAAAAAAAAAAAAAAAAAAAAAAAAAAAAAAAACCTCACCACACATGGCACATGACTCGCTAAGGACGGTCA